GGAGGCGGGGACAGCACCTTCCGGGGTGGCCCAGCAAGCGGATTCGGTTAACCCCAACCAAATCAAGCCAAAACAGGAAGCGCCTGCCCACACGAGGAGAGAAACGGACAGCACAGTCCGAATGCCCCCGCGGGTCGCACTCCGCCGGCCGGTACCTGGCAGCGCCGCGTCCCGCTCCTCCACGGCCTCTGCGTCCCCAGCCTCCGAGCCCCGCAGCTCCGCGCCTTGCTGCCCCGCCGGCCGCTCCTCCTCCGGCACCGAGGGCTCCGCGGGCTCTCCATGCGCGCCCCGGGGCGCGGGGCTGGGCGAGGCCGAGCTGTCCGACGGGCTGTCCGGGCCCCAGGCGTCCCAGAGCCAGGGCGCGTGTGCCTGCTCCAGCAGCCGGCGGCCCAGCCGGTAGCGCAGCAGCTCGCGGTAGCAGTGCGCGTACTCGTCCCAACGCGGCTCCCGGTAGCGCTTCATGTACTCGCTCTTCACCCCGCTGCCCGGGGCCATGGTGCCGCGCGCTGCAGACCGCCCAGTCCGCGCCGCCGCCTACGAGCGCTACACCACCGAGCCCCGGCCCGCCTCGCGGTTCAAACCCGGAGCCCCGCCTGGGCGGGAGGGCGGAGGCGGGGGCGGGGAGGGGAGAGGCGAGGAAGCGGAGGCCGGGAGGGGAGAGGGGCGGGTCTGTGACGAGAGGGGCGGGCCTGTGACCGAGAGGGGAGGGAAAGGGCGGAGTCCGCGCGGAGTGGGCTCTCCGGATCCTGGCGGGATTCTAGGCGTCCTGACCCAGGCTCCCTGGACGGGGACCAGTGGGTGGCCACCTGAGGGCAGAGAGCGGAGATGGAGGCTGCGGGAGGCGGGTTCCCAGGCAGCGACATGAGAGATTTGAGGACTAGGCCCGGGTCCCCAAGCACCCTCCGGGCGGGGAGTGGGGTCTTATGGAGCCGCGGCCTTACCTCCTGCGCATCCGGCCCCGGGGCTCCCGCGATAGTGGCGCAGCAAGCACCGCGCGCCCAGCGTTTCCCCTCACGCGTCCTCTACCAAGATGTCGCCAATGGAGCGGCTGCCCGCGCGATCCCGCGGCAGCCAGAGGCGAAGGCGCCGCCCCAGCCTGAAGCCTGCACCTCCCCATGCGCCCGCCGTCCCCCCGCTCCTCCGCCTGCCTCTGGGGCGCTGCCTCCGAACCCCCACGCGCTCATTCGCGGCTGGAGCCCAGGGAACAGCCTCCAAGTGGAGGTGTACCCTGCGGGTTAGCGACCAGTGTCTGGCCCAGGCGGAAGGCCACATATGCCCTCTTCCTTCCGCTCAGTTCATCCCCTTCAGACCTTTTTTCTTTCTTTTCATCCGAGCCCATTTTTTTCTTTTCTTATTTTTCTTTTTTTGAGACAATCTCATGTAGGTAAGGCTGGCCTAGAACTCATTCTGTAGCCCAAGTTGGTCTTGAACTCCTGATCAGGTGCTGCTGTTACACTTGGCTAATACAAGCCCTTTCTTAATTCACACCATTTATTAAAACAAGTGATTACAACCATGCGGCCCGCCAAAGTAAGGAATTCTGCCAAAGTGTATTAAATGGTGCCATGTTGATGCTGTTGCAATTGGCCGTACATTGATAACTTCTTTATAAAAATGAACCTTGATAGAGTAACGCAGGAAGATTTGAATGAAGAGGAATTCTGGAAAGTCAAAACATATTTGCCAGCTAAAAAAGAAACAGGCCGGGAGATTGAGAGATGGATGGCTCGGAGATTAAGAGCTTGCTGCTTTTTCAGGGGACTCCATTTCCCAGCAACCTTGTCAGGTGTCTCACAACCACCTTGACTCCAGTTCCGGGAGATCCCACACCCTCTTCTAGACGCAGAGTATCTAAACTCACAGGTGCACATACCTACACAGATATGCACAGAACTAAAAATAAAATGAATCTTTTTTTTAAAAAAATGAACATTGCATTTTCCCACACATGAATATAAAAACCCTCCAAAACTTGAAAGAAAAAAAAAATGAAGAACAAACGGGCCCAAGGGGGCTGGAGAACTGGCTCAACAGCTTAGAGTGCTTGCTGCTTTTCCAGAGGACAGCAGGATGTGTCTGTGGGTTGGTTCACAACCCCCTGCAACTCCAGTTCTGGGGAATCAACTCTGGCTTCGGTCTGCACCTGTACTCACACAGGTGCACAAACACACAATAATTTTTTTTTTTTTAAACCGCAGGCAGGAGCCACAATGAGGTTCCAGCTTCCAGTTACTGACTGGGTTACTCTGTGATTTTTTGCTTCACATGAACTACCCTTCTCATACATCCTGTCCTGCCCAGACTGCTGGGCCCTGTCTTAGGCAAAAGGCTTTCAGCCCATAGGATGGTCTGTCCTGAGAATCTGAAGTGATTAGTAATATCATATGATTTTTCAAGAGCCTTTTTCTGGAAGGAAACTAAATAAAAGAAACTGCTGCTGAGGTCCCCACATCAGCCCACTGAGTCCACCTTTTATTTAAGCTGGCTGGTTGATCTCTGGTGTTAGCAACAAAAAGAACCATAAATATTTAGTTTCCAGCCATGATGATGCACCTGTAATCCTAGCACTTGATACTTGAGAGGTGAGGGTAGGAGGATCAGAAGTTCAGGGACAACTTTGATATTTAGAATATAGAAGCATAATTTGGGCTCCATAAGACTCTCAAAAACTAAGTAAGTAAATATTTAATAGCATGGGAGAAACAGTGATGTGCCGTAACATGAGGAAGCACAGTGGTACAGAGTATCTCAGCTTTTGCTTTATACCTTACTGCAAAGTTAGTGGATCAGATCAGGCATGATACCTACCTGTGATCCCTGCTCTCCAGACATGGAGGGAAGCAAGGGCAGGAAGATAGTGAGTTGCAGGCCAGCATTGGTTATGTAGTGAGGCCCTGACTCAAAAAAGGAGTGGCAGAGGGGATAGATATAGCTCAGCAGTTATGAGCACTTACTATTCTTGCCAAGGACCCAGGTTTGGTTCCCAGCATCCACATGACAGCTAACAACAGTGCCTAACTCTAGTTCCAGGGGATCCAACAATGCCCTTTTCTGGCCTCCACAAGCATTGTACACATGTGATGCACTTACACACATGCAGGCAAAACACATATACAATAAGTAAAATCTTATTTTTTTTCAAGAGCTAGGTATGCTGCTAGGTAGAGCACTTGCCTAGCATGCGCAAGGCCCTGAGCTTCACCAATCAAAAACAAAAACAAAACAAAGAGGACAACACATGGTTTAAAGCAACGAATATAACTTCTGATGGCTGCATGAGGGTGAACTGGATAGTTCCCTGCAGGCTAGCACTCTACTGTAGAGGGATGGACTGGAAAGGACCAGGGAAATTTAGCTGCCTTGGTCGTGTCAAGAGGGCTCGACTGGCCTCTGAAGATGAGGCACATCTGCTCCCACATTCTAATGTCCAAGTAAATCCTCATATGAATATTCAAGGGAGAGGAAGTCCCACTCCACCTCTGTCACAGTGGCACATCACAAAGAGCTGCACTTTATCTGCAGAACTAGCAACAGTGCACAACAGCCATATACACTCTCTCAAGAAAGAAGATTTTAAGGTACCATGCCAACTTTTGGGAGCCCCATTAGTTTAAGGCTAGCCTGGCCTACCTAGTAAGACCATCCTATCTTAAAAGATAAGAAATTTTTTTATTATTTTTATTTTATGTGTATGTGTGTATTGCCTGCATGTAGGTAAGTGCACCCATGTCGTGCAATGCCTGCGGAGGTCAAATCACTCACCTTTTTTTTCAATATTTTGTTTATTATTTTTATTTTATGTTTATACATGTATTGCCTACATGTAGGTAAGTGCACCCATGTCATACAGTGCCCTTGGAGAACAGAAGAGGCTCTCAGATCCCCTGGAACTAGAGTTATGGACAGTTGTTAGTTGCCATGTGGGGGCTGGGATTCAAACCCGGGTCTTCTGCAAGAACAACCAGTGTTCTTAACCTCTGAGCCATCTCCCCAGCCCAGGATAAGAAATTTTTAAAGTGTTATTTTCATTACATTTTGGTTTGGTTATGGTTTGGTTTGGTTTTTTGAGGCGGTTCCTGAGCTCACTATGGAGCTAAGGCTGTACCACCACACCCAGCACATGTTATTGTTATTTTGAGATTAGATTTTATGCAGCCAAGACTACCCTCAAACTCCAGATATAATCAAAGATGACCTTGAACTGATATTCCTGCCTCTACCTTCTGAATTTTTTTTTTTTTGCTTTAAAAAAAAACTTCTTTGTTTTGTTTTATTTTCTGAGACAGGGTCTCCCTATAGCTCTAGCTGACTCACTATGTATATCAGAGTGGTCTTGATCTCACACTGATCTGCCTGCCTCTGTGTCCCAAGTGTTAGGATTAAAGGCATGCACCACCATGCCCAGTTTCATTCTAATTATTTTTATGTGTATGGGTGTATTGCCTGCATGTATATAAGTGCACCCATGTCCCTCGGAGGACAGAAGAAGGTATCAGATCCCCTGGAACTGGAGTTATGAATGGTTGCTAGCCACCATGTGGGTACTGGGAATCAAACCTGGGTCCTCTGTAAGAGCAGTCAGTGCTCTTAACCACTGAACTGTCTCTCCAGTCCCTTCATTCTAATTTTTTTTTTTGAGACAGGGTCTCCCTGTAACCCCAGCTGGCCTGGAACTTGCTATATAGACCAGGCTGGCTTCGAACTCACAGAGATTGTCTGCTTCTACTTCCTGAGTGCTGGGATTAAAGGCATGTGCCACTATGCCTGGCCTTCATTCTAAATTTTACTATCTTTTTTGTCAAGATTTATCCATGTGGAAGTAACAAAAAGACCACTTCAGACAAGCTTAAGCAGGAAGCATGCTCTGTTTATTTTCATCCCTGTAACAAAACACCTGGGGAAGTTTGCCTAAAAGGAGGAAAGGTTTTTTTGGGCTCACAAGTTCAGAGGTCTCAGTCTATGATCACTTGACTCCATTGTTTCTGGGCCTCTGACTAGACTGCCCATCATTGTGGGGAGTGCATGGTGGAACAAAACTATTCCCTCATGGTGAGCCACTAGTAAAGAGAGCAAGAAAAGATAGCAATCCCCTTCAAGGTCACCTCTCCAATGACTAGCCTCCTCCCACCAGGCCCTACCTCCCAGACTTTCTGCCACCTCCCAATAACCCATCAAGCTGTTGATCTACCTGTGAATTAACTCAGGGCACTTGGGATTCACTCACTTCCCAAAGCCCCACCTCTGAACACTGCTGCCTGGCAGCCCAAGCCTTAGCATATGAGCCTTGTGGGGGTGGCAGGGTGGGGGGGATACAACCTCTTATATCCAAACTATAGCAAATGCTTTCTGGCTCAGGTAGAGCTGAACCCAAGGGTTTAGACAGTGCTTTTGGGACTCCAGTTTCTTCCTGCTTTGGGTTCTGCTTTCTTGTCAAAGACTTCACTCTCCATTGTGTGGAAATAGTCTTCCTTCACACACTTGTAAGGCAGTCCTGCCTATCAGACAGTGTCCTATCATCCATCCCTCCATCCCCCTCCCTCATCCCTTTGGTTAGGACTGATGAGCCAAGTAGAGACAGAGTCACAAGTATCAAGCCTTCATGGTCCTGCAGCCAGGTTAGGCC